AACATCTATCGTCCTTATCTCCCCTTCTTCTTTCTTATGTTTGTTACTCTCTTGTGACACCTCTAATCTTCTGACGCTCATATGACCTTATGCAGTTGCGAGCGCCGTAAAACCTCTACTAAAACTAAAACTTACATAAACCAGTCAATTGTAGGGGCATGACGGGGCAAGATGTTCTACTAGGCTCTGTTTGTTTGGTAAGAGTTTTACGGCGATGACAACAGCATTAAGGTCATGTGAGCGCTTTTTGTCTCGTGTTTATTGTAGTCTGTAGGTGTTGTCGCTCCTTCTGTTAGTGGTGGTGGTAGTGTGGTGTTGTTGTTGTTGTTGTTGTTGTTGTTGTTGTTGTTAGTGGTGGTGGTTGTGGAGGTCATAATGTTGTTGTTAGTAGTATGGTGTTATTGTAGTTGTTTGTGGTGTAATGTTGTTGTTGGTGGTGGTGTTGGTGGGGGTGGTGGTGGTGATGGTGGTGGTGGTGATAGCGTGGTGCTATTGTTGTTGTTGGTGGTGGTGTAAAGTTGTTGTTGATGTTGTTGGTGGTGGTTTCCACCGGAAATAAACAAATCTTCTTTGGGCGCCTACAGTTGAGATGTTCCTGATCACTTACAGAGAGTTACTTCCGAACCACTTTCGAATTTGACAAAAGTAATGGTGGTTCTGAATCATTGAGAGGGTGCACAGTTTCACTGAGGAATCTGAAGTCACTGTAGTTTAATTTTAAGTTTTTCATTAGTTTCGTTTAGATCTATTCTTGGGAACGTCCGTTTTCTAAGATGCTATTGTAAACAAGTGAGGTTTCCGTTCACTAGCCGTGTGCACTTTTTATTCCACACCTTTGAAATTCTGGAGTGTACAACCACGAAAGCGGAATAGAGAACCAATCTGTACATCTGTCATCTATTATATATTTGGCAACTTGGAAACACATGTGTCATTTTTCTCTCAAGATGTATTGCTCCATTCCAGTAGAGTGTAAATATAGTAGGCCAATGACTTTCAGTTGATGTTAATACACCGTTCATTCCTTTCATCGAAAGGGGGCCCAGCTTGTATGTTAATAAAATAATACCATCTCCACGTCCTTCGTTTTCTCTCCCTCACCATCCCTCTCTACATCTCTCTCTCTCTCTCTTTCTCTCTCTCCCTCTCTCTCTCTCTCTTTCTCTCTCTCCCTCTCTCTCTCTCTCTCC